TATATATATATATATATATATAAGAGGGTGACAACGTGACGGGACAATAATATGTGTGTAGGTAGTGAGTAATTGAACTGCAGTCAGGAAGTATTGTTAAAGTTAACGTTCGTTGTTAAAACGTTGTGAAAGAACGACTGTTGAAAATAAGTGTATCGGTAAAGTTATATTCAGAAAGAATAAACCACTTTTATTAAGTGAGGACTTGTGTCGCTAAAGTTTCGTCGGAACGAAGTTACGGAAAATCAATTAACAAACGGAGACGTAACACTATTTTTACTTATAACGAAGAGTAGAAAGTATTGAAATACATCATCGTAGGCCCACAAGTTAATAACAAATACGATGACTAAATTCTCATGACTCATCACTCGTGATGAGCAAAAGAAGTACACAGAACTGTTCCTTATTTTCATAAAAAGTGAAAGAAACTGTTTAAATGTATGTTATGATATTCTAGACTTTTATCATTGTGATGTTATGTAAGTTCAGTTTGAAATATTCTTAGATTATTCAATTCTTTGACACATGTTTAATACATTTAGTTTCAAACTGAAATCATAATCGAGGTTTTTCAAGTGTCTTTCAAAGTGATTTTTTTTTGTAATGAAATTTGCTTGAAACTGAAAACATGATTGTAAATAGTTTGATAACTGAAATCAACTCAAGTTTGAAACATTTTTATGCTCACCCTTATTAATCACTTTTCTTCACTAAGCCAACATGGGTCTACCATTTCTTTAGGTATCTACCATAGATTTAAGTAACCAAAATTCATCTTTCAACTGAACGCTTTCTTCATGTTTTGCTAGCACGTTCTGATTTCATGCCCATAGCTCTGGAATGTAGGCTTAGAATGATTTAATGTCTTAAGTTAACAAGCCTTGAAAAAAAATATACATTTTGTACTGATGGATAATAATTATTTATATTATGAAACTGTATATTTCAGTATCATAAGAAATGTTAGAACATGAATAAGTATGTGTACTATATTATTTATCAGTAAAAAAAATGTTAGTTGAGAATGGTGGAAAAAATTATCAGTTATACAGTTACAGAAAAAATGAGCTATCTTATGTCAAAGATATAGGGCAAGCTTAAAATATAGAAATTATTAATAAGGAATAAATACGAATGCGACTTCAGAAGTAATTTTATGTAGAATTTTCATTTCAAACAATATCTATGTGATTACATTAATTATATTAATGTATGTTTATTTAGACGTATTCAGGTAATTTTTCTAAATTTTCATGCAGATATTCTTCATGTAGTTACCATCTTTTGGTAAACCAGATGTTGAAAAATTGAACTAATCCTCTTCCTTAGACAAGAGTTACATATTACAACATCTAATTTATAGAAACTTTTTCACCCATGCAGTGGGGTTAAACCCATTTTAAGGGGTAATACAGACTTGTGTTCAAATTAAATTTTGGCTTATAAAATTAGTTCACATTATTATAGTAGCACTGTATATTTATATACTCTTTAACATATATAAAAATAAAATTTTTCTGTTGGAGTATTTATTAGAGTAAGAAGAATAACAAAATTATTAAACTAAAGAGAGCACATACTATAAGAAATTATGAGTTACCAAACATTATTACATAATGCTGAAGTCCTTTATTAAAATACTAGTATCTTCTTGAATGAATGTGACAAGGTTGATAATAAATGAATAATATTAACCTCTTCTGCAACTTGAAAATACTGTATATAAAATATCTGAGACAGTGTATATGATGTACAGTGAAAATAAAACAGAAAAAAAGAAATGAAAATGACGAAGAAAATTAGTGGTATTGAAGGTTTGAATATATAGAAAAAAAAACGTTAGAGGAAATTTTGTTAGTTGTTAGGCACAAAGGTACACAATGGGTTATCGGTGTCCTGCTTATTGCAGGTACTGAAACCTGACCTTTAGCATTATGAGCCATCTGTGGGTGATAGAAGAAACAAAAGTAGTGAGAGAAGACAAGAACTGCAAGAGAACTGATGATAAAGATGTGAAGTTGATACTGAGATACAGAGAGGAATCTGAAAGACTAAAACATACACACACACACTCCAGATAACAGCCTTGATGATGAAGATTTGAATTTACCACACAGTGACAGTAAAATAAAAAATATTAAAGTAAATAAGAAAAATAATAGTTCTTGAACAGTACGTACAAGTATGCATAATAATAATGACAAGCATGGGCAAAAGGGAACACATACTGGTTGAAAGTTAGTAATATTTACAGTAGTATGTGTAAAGTTTTAACTGAAGGGAACTAAGAATTGTTCATTTATATTTTTTGAGTATGCTGGTGTATTAGATTGTTTTCAATTTCACAAAGATAGCGAGGAAAAAGAATTACTATAAATCCAATACATTTTTTCAAATTTAGAATTATGAAGTAAATAGGTTAAAAAATAAAATTTCAATAACAGACAAACAATAGGCGAAAATTTATTAGCATATATTGTTTAGAAATGTTAACCAACATTACTTAGAATAATAGAACCTGTACATTTTCTGAAGTTTCTTTTAATGATAGTGTCATGTTTAGCTTCCACTGTACTATAAGCTATAGTTTTTGTTCTTGTTCTATATGGCATTGCAATTAATGGTATAATTTATAGTTTTTGACAGAAATAATGAGCTAAATACAATAATTTCAAAAAAAGTACTCTAAGAGTTTACATGGAACTGTGTTCAATTTCACAACTTTTAAGAACATACATAGTCATACAGAATCCAAAGAAGATTATTTCATTCAAACATTAATCTTTTTTTAAAGCTAAACAAATAATTTTTTGCAGTTTTGAAGAAGCTAGTTGAATTACTCTGGTGATTTCATCAGTTTTTTTGTTCTGTTTCAACTGATGGATTCTTTTCTTTGTATGGCCTATAACTTTTCGTCCTCTACGTGTTTGATCCTCATTCAAATACAAAGCAAAGCATCCAGTCTTCATGCATTTACAGTTACTAAGCTTCCTCCAGACTCGAGATAAAGATTTAAATGTCTTAACCCTAACAAATAGCTTATCCATAGGGTACCTATTAAAACACTGGAAACAAAATAAAAACTGTTATTTAGAGCCTGATGGAAATCACTTTTAAAAGTACACGAAACTACATAATTCCCAGTTGAATGTAACTTCTTGTTGCTGTGATTAAGTCACGCAATCCAAAATATAAGTCTATAACTAAGACCTCTACATATGCACTCTATTCTTGGCCATCCTGGTTGTAATTTAGATTAAACCCTAAATTAAAAGTAAAGATAATTTGCCTGACTAAATAGATGACTGCATAAAAATATATCTAAGATATATAAAAACAACTGTTGGTCTGTAGAATTCTCTGGATAAACTTCGCTTAATTCCAAAAACTCATCAACCTACTACAGAAATGTCATTTTCCATAGATTATCAACAAAAATTACCATAAGGTAAAGATATCAAATTGTTTACTTTAGACTAAGGCATCAAAAATATTTATAAAAGGGACTTCAGAAGAAATTAGCTCAATATATTTTCAACATGACAACATTAAACTAAATAGAAATTTATGTCTTGATAATCAAATAAAAATAACTGACACACCTGGCTACTATCCGTTTTTTTCTTCTGGACAATTTTCTGGACTAAAGGATTACTGAACTGTTGTCTGGATAATGGTTCTATATAAAAAAGTTTGTAAAAAAAGGAATAACTTCTTGACACCAGCTTTTCCATATTGATAAGATAAATCATTCTGAAAATTGTATAGTATTTTATACTGAATTTATATTTAAACATTCTATCAAAAAAAAAAGCCATTTACTGCATATAGGGCTAATATAACTTTATATTTGTAAACTTGAAACATTTGGGAATGTAAACATTCAAAATTATAAATTACAACTTGAATTGTTATACTTTATCAAAATGATCAGTTACCTCTTCAATATATTGTTACCATGCAACCAGTTATTAATCCAAAGTCAAAACATTAAAAAACTTCAACATGTTTTTAATGAATAAATATAAATAACAAAATACATTTACCTATGCTTGATTGTTCATATAATTTCTCATACTGAGATATGCAAGATCATTAACCGTATTAAATTTACATTTTAATATTCAGCATGTCTTTGGAGGAGTTTTAATTAAACTAAGACCATTCTGCACATACTATGTATGATATGTTTCCTGTTCTGACATAAATACTATTTCAATTCTTTTGTAACTGAACCATTTCCACCTAATAATGTAAATAACTTCAACCAAAACTTCAGTTATTTATAATTCCAGATTTTAAGGGCTTTTTTTTTTCATTATTACAAAATACTAATGATACACCTTTAATTTAATAAAAAAAGAAACTATACAATAATAAAATTTTTTTGGTTACCAAAAAAAACACACCATAAAATCAAAAGTAAAGTTAAAAGTCATTAATTAATTTCTTAAATTTTATTTCAAATGTTCCACTTTGAAAACTAAAACAAATCTAAGGAAAGAATAAATATTCTTAAACCTTAAAGCTAAAATATAAATCAACTTTTTTTCTTGTAACCTAATACTAAATTGCTCTTTTGATTATCAAGCATTCTTTATTAAACTGTTACACTTAATAAATCATAACTTGATTTTAACAATGGCAGTAAAATGTTTACTTTAAAATTAATTTAACTGCCACAAAAAGCTGGCAAAATATTGGAAAAATCAATAGGCATAAAAACTGTTATAAAAGTAAGTTAACCGCAGTTGGTTTTTTTTTTCTACACTCCTCTGAATTTGTCCATTTCATCTCAAAACACATCTCTGATTTTGTTTGTTTGTTTTTAATTTCGCGCAAAGCTACATGGGGGCTATCTGTGCTAGCCATCCCTAATTTAGCAGTGTAAGACTAGAGGGAAGGCAGCTAGTCATCACCACCCACCACCAATCATAATGCACCCCCTCTGATTTTGAGCTGCAATAAACAAATTAAGAGGAATGTGAAAAACAAAAATCTGCAATGAACAAGTTTAAGTATTTATTTTATGACATAAATTGAAGAAATCTAATTTTTTATTTTCCGGACACTAAAATATGCTATATAAATGGCTCTGAAAATAAAACCTAACCTCCAAAATCTTCTTCCACATTATTATTTCCATCACTTAGTCCTTTCTTTGTATCTTCTTCATAAACATCATCAGGACTTTCATGCTCTCCTTTAAACATCTTTTCAAGGAATTTCAAGTTTTTCTTATCAGGAGCTGATAAACTATTTTATATATATAAAACATGCAATTAATTTAAATATGTAACAAAGAATGTAAATATAATAAAAAAAAAGCTAGTTTTGGTTAAAAAATTATTCCACTTTTCAAAAATAGAATTTTTGTAAGAACATCAATGTTAAAAACTATAAATACATAAGTACAGTTTCAGTTGCTTCAAGCAAAATTACAGTAACAATGTCTTGCAGAGGCCAGCAAGAAAAACAACAACACACAAATATGAAACAAGAGAGCATAAAAACAAAGAAAAACAAAATGAACAAGCATCAAAGCACGAAGCAGATGCGGTATTCCAGATTAGTAAATGATGCTTCATATGCAGAAATGTAAATATATCTCCATCATTGGTGTAGAACATAAAAGAGAAAACATATTCCAGGAAGTTAATCCTGCAATGCCTAAACAACAAACAAAAGGGTGTGAAAGTTTCATGTTCAACATAAGTACAAGGATCCTGAATGAGAGAATTCACATAAAGAAGTCGTTGGGGAACACCCATTATTCAAGTGACAAGATCCAAAACCAAAGACCAGAAAAGAAATGACTTGTGATTCCATGCTTTCACAAGTATGTCTATCAAAAGGGAGTTGAACACAAGACAAAGATGTTGAAAAATGAAAAGAACACTCTATGGGCACAACCATGAGAGAATACAAACAATGGTCCTCCATGTTATTCAAAACTCTTGGATGGCAACCTCATGAAGAGATTGAGTTACATCCTACTCAAAGCAGCAGTTTCATGATCCTCTAATAATGGACTTGAGTGTGTGTATACTATAGATTTTGTTGATATAAGCAACAATTATACAACGTAAAAATGAAGAAGGATGAAACTTCTTAAAACAACCAGAAATCTAAGGCAAATCTTCTGGACTGTAAACAAGTCAGAAACTCACCCATTAAAAACCTCCCCCAAGAGCCACACATACGTATCTGTGAACAAATAAAAGTCTGCCAGGAAAGTGAATCTTTCAAGTTTCTGATAAGAAGGATAAGCATTTTAACTTTAAACCCTTACTGTGTCTGTCATATCACAACTAGCATGATTAGCCCTGGTATTAGATAAAAGGCCTGAATGGCACTAGATGTAACAGATATAATGTGGCTGACATTGTTTACTTTTGCTCATGAATTCTTAGAATTATTAATGTGGTCCTTTCCCATTGATGCTGTGGTTGCTTGACCTCCTCTGGTAACATGGGAACTAGTTTGCTGATTCACCAGTTCTTCTGAATGACAATAAAGTTAGTAAAAGTAAAAATAAATAATTATAAGTAACCAGTGTTCAAGTGGTTATATAATAGAGTTATCAATCCTTACCTTAATTATGAATGTTAAATAACTTAGAGAAAATTACACTTCAACTTAATCTAGTTCACACTATAACAGCTGTTGTTCATACATTTTGATACAATAAATAGCAACTCAAATGCCACTGTAGCTGGCCTGATGTGGCCTGGAATTGGGCAAAAGGTTTCATTGACAATGGATATAGCAGATGTAGTGTGGTTGACAGGTTATTTGCTTTCATTCATGAATTCTTAGAATTACACATCATATAATAAACAGATCTGTAGATCACTAGATGAGTCTACAATTGAGAAAGAACTCACAGAAAACTAGACAGATCCATAATCAGATGACAATATTCACTACACTTAGGAAAAAAAAAGGAGAGAATAAAAACTTTAATTCAGGCCTTAAACTTCCTCAATCCCTCTTTTTAGTTACTTTTATAATAATAAATAAAGAATTTACATGGGTCTTGTTTTGTTTTTTTTGCTGTTGACTGCTGATGACAATTAACTCTACTTTTTTATGCTAATGGTACTACTGCACTAATTATTTTTTTTTATTTAGTTAAATAATTCACCAAAGAACACAATAATAATATGCAAAAAACAGAAGCAGACACACTGGAAGCGAAATAGACAATTCTCCATACAGAAAACAACGTAATAAAATATGTCATTTGATAGATTAAAACCTTGGCTTTCTATTGGTTATAAATAATATAGTATTAAATGTCAAAGATAACTATTAGATATTTCTGAAAGAGGATGTGACACGTTAGTGGTAAGTGAGGTATGATATTCTATTTGATGGATCTGTAACCAAATAAAGCTATAAAATAAAGCCTGAGCAATGACAATAGTATAATGAATAATTTACATTAAATTTCATACTTCTTGGAGAGGTGGCAAATAAATTAGAGAACAGGGGATACCTTGAGAACGAATGCCACAATTCTCATACTAGGGGAAATTCAGGATTGTATTTTTTAATATTGCCTTACAAAATTAAGAACTTTAAAGTTATATAATAATAAATTTGATTTATTAGCTATGTTTTTATGCCAAGTTAATTTATATACCATGATAAGAAAGTAGTTTAATTAAATTTTGAATGTAACTCACTAAAACCTCCTGACATGAGCACAGAATGATGCCCATTCTGAAAGACATACAGAAGTAGAAGAAAGAGGATTATGGGGACCATAAGCACAAGGGGCAAATGAAAAACTTGAACAATGCAGTACCCTCAACATGCTCATGACAGAAACATACTGAAATAACAAAAAAAGTACATCTACAGTTAGCTTTTTTTTTTTAAATAACAGATTTTTAGGCTTGTTGGTTTCCAATATTTTGGAAACTTTTCACATTTAAACTGTAACTTTTAAAGCATTATACTGCATAAATAAATAGCATTTTATAAAATATTTTGTATTTCATCTTCCGGCCAAACTGATAAGTTCTGGTTTGGAAGAAACATTTTATTGAATAGTGACTCGTGGGACACAAAAGATAGATCTTAAATGTTATTTTTAAACACCTCTGGTTTCAAACTGCAATGGACAAGTTCAGAGGAACATGGAAAAAAATATTTTCAGTTGTTTCTATAACAATTTTGAGGCCTGTTGGTTTTCCAATATTTCATCAGCTTTCAGCATTTAGATCATATACTGAAGAGAGCCAGTTACAGTCTCCATTTCATTAGAAACACCAGTAAGAATATAATTAATGAAAAAGAAGCAAGGAGGTAAAATAAACACTCAAAAGTAATTATTACTTGACCGAGCATCTCACAAATAGTATGACCAAAAAGACAAAGCCACAGCCCGAGAAACAAGTTACAGAAAGGCAATGCAACAAGATGTAAATAATCAAAAGTAAGCAAGAAATCTAATACCTTTGCTATAATCTATATCAAAGAAATGAAATGCAGGAAAAATGATAAACTTTGGTGGAAATGAGAAAACATCAATGTAAAAATGGAAAAAGAAACTGTGAGAAGCATTACAATCATGAGCTAAGGCAAGAAGCTGCTTTGAGAAAAAAGAATATTGAATATGAAGCAATAAGACAATGAAAATAATGAAGGATAGGCAAACATAATTAGAGAAATTCCCTGAAATTCATCTAATACTTTTGAAAAAGTTCAGACTATAGCAAATTAGCTGGCAAAGAAGAGAAACTTGGACAACCAGATAGCAACCTATGTTGCCTGAAATGGAAAAGGGGTAAAGACACAATAACACATTCTAGTCTTAATTCACCATAAACCAAAATTTTTGTTACCCACCAAAAGTGGGTCAAAATCCAAGAGCATCACTACTTTTCTTAGAACCAATCTCCTCAACAACACAGGTAGGCTAAAGGACAGTGAGAAACATGAAAAGTAGGCACTAACTAAGAGAATAAAGCAAGAATAATAAAGCCAGGTGTCAATAAAGTGTTAAACATCAGACAAAAAAATGTTCAATAAAACCTTCATAGTGGGAAAGTTACATGATTAGTTTCATTTGCAGAAAGAGAATGTGCAACCTCTTCATTAGTGACATGAAAATGTTTGTAACTGAAAAAAAACAACAACACACACATTAGAAACAGAGAACAACGCAAAAAGAAAAGCAAAATAAATTAAAGATAACTCACAGTACAAACAAAATCAGAGATTTGCAAGCATAAAGTTCCAAGAGAAAAAATGTGCCCATGTATTCTCCACTTCAAGTAAAAGATAGTAAGAGGCTGTAACATAACAAAAGATGACTGACCTATGATTATGTGAATAAGGGCAGTAATCATGTGAAAATGTGACTATATAACCTAGAAAAAATACAGAATGCAGAATATATGTGAAGAGTTGTAGGATAGGAGGCAAGATAAAATCATGTCTATTTGTTGGAAAAAAAATCAAGATCTCTAACTAGCTCAAACTTCTAGAAAAGATATAACATATTATTTGAGTCTTAACATTTTTTTTGTTTTTTTTTTGCTTGTAAACTCTATTGGAGCTCTATGAAGGTGACAAATGGCCAATTTGATGTAATAGAGCTTAGGTAGCAGTGGTTGAAGTACATCTCATGACCAGGTTTATTTATGCAAACCTATCTAGCTGCATATCACTCATAATATTCATTGGTAGTGCATAATCCAGGCTAAAAGTGAATAACACTGGTAGAGGAGGTATGGGGCAAGATTAAAAGGATATAAAATTATCTTTGCATATTAATCCTAGAATTATCCCTGCCATCTCCCGCAGCTTTTTTTAAACATATCTTTTTAAATTACTTATGCATCAAAATTCTAATGGGCCCATGATTTTGTTGGTTACAGAGTCACTAACTACATATGAATCACACAGAAAATCTTGAATCAAAAGTATTATCAATTGTGCAATTAACATCACTAATTTGAGGGTAAGTAAGAAGATTATATTACTCATAAAATTAACAAAACATTGCTCTTCAGTAAAACATCCATAAACATTTTCAAAATTTAAGAAGTGTGTCCTAAAATTATTTAAATTACAACAGAAATCAAAATTTAGAAAGCCATGAAGGTAATGTATGTAAATAAAGCATTAAAAAAAAACTTAACATACCCTGTTAAGGAATGAATTATAGGCTGTAAATCAGGTCCTAAAAATGTCCACAAATCATCTGGTAATTTTTCATCATCACTCTAAAATATAAAAATATTATTCAGAAAGTAATTGTGACACAAATAACAAGCAGAAACATTAACAAGTGTTTCAATATTAATTTTACAGCCTTAACGATCAACTTATTGAAATTGTAAAGAAACCATAGAAAATCAAAAAGCACCCCCAACCTAAATATTGATGTCTTGAACATAATGAAATTGTCAGAATAATAAAACTTTAAAATAAACTATGAATAAAACAGGGCTAAAAAGTACTAATTCATACTTTATAATTTATGTTCAGTCAAAGGTTTCATGTGAAAACAGCTGCCTTGCAGGAGATAAAAGAGCATTCCTTTATTAATGTAAACTGTGGCCTTCTGGTTGTATGCTATCTCACTAGTTCTCCATCTTTTGCTTTTGCTAGCTACATCATATGGTGATTTGTTTCCACCTTAATAGTGTAGAAGAGGTCAATATTTAACCAGTAGAATTTTACAGGATTTAATACAGATGCTTCTCTTGTTAGCTTGTCAGTTTACTCGTTTAGCAGTATCCCTGCATGGCCTGATATATATACATCCAGATGATGGTCTTATAATGTAGATGACTATGCTTTCTGCCATCCATCTGGGGATCAACCATTCTGAATTTTATGCAGTACTGTCCACGAGTCAGTTGCAAGTATAATATTGGTGGCACCCTCTATTTTTGGTTCATTGCAATTCAAGAGGAAAGCTGGCTTTATGGTTTCCACTTTTATCCTTGTGTTCCTTGAGTAATCCACCAGCCTTATATAGAATGCTATTGTTCTGTGAGAATATATATTCCCAAGCAACTCTTTCACTACAGTATTTTTACATAGGTGCTAACTTGATTTTATCTGCTTGAGCCCCTGCTTTATAGCTATATTTTCTGTCTAGGCTGATTACCACAGACACCAGTGGCAGCAGCTATATCTTTCACATTAAGGCACCTCACATACTGTAGTGATCAATTACCTTAGTGGTGGCTATATGGCACCATTCATAATTGTCTTCTAAAGTGTCTATCGGTAAATCCCTTGTTTGCTTGTTTGGTGTCTATGGAGTTACTGTGAAATTGGAATGTCCCAGCTAAAAAAAAAAAGACAGAAGCTTGATGTTGGAATTCATGGTCTTTACACTGCAAGGCCCTAGTGAAGAATTTTGCTTGTAAGTTCTGTTGGTGCTCCAAGATACTTCTGAGGCCTGCAAGATGTAATAGACCTTAGTACATTCAATGACCAGTCTTAAACATATTTTTAATCTTTTCAATGTCATCTGGTTGCATAGCACTAATACTGATAATTGGTAGTGTATAATCCAGGATAAAGCAGATGATACTTTGGTAGAGCATAAACAGGTGATGTTTCTAAGCTCTATTTCATGCAGCAAATTTCAGTGCATTGATGTCTATGGTAGATCTGGTTATTATGGTGTTAATGTGGTTGGTGAAATCAAGTTGTCTGTTAAAGGTTAGCGCTCAGATACTTCATTTTTTCATTTAGAGGGATAGCACTGCCCAAAAAGAATGATGATGGTTTGTCCTCATCAGCATGTTTAATGGTTGAGTGGTTTTAACAGGATTTATGACCATTCCTGTATCACTGAACTCATTTTCTCACTCTGCTAAGAGATGGTTGGATCTTGCTTTTGATTTCAATTTTGCCAGAATGTCATCAGTGTAGCTTATTACATGGCATATGGTTGGACAATCAAAGCAGACCACTATCAATGATGACCCAGTCTGATTGCCAACTTCCATACTTCATTTGTGCATCTATTGGTAGTTGGTGCAGCTACGACCTATTTACATTTTGTCAACAAGAATGTGCCAATAGAATCTATTGTAGACATCTTTCAGATCTAAAGCTACTACTGCCAAGATGTTCTGACTAGCCTCAAGCCTTCCCATGTATAATCTGTAAATTCAGTAGGAATTATCCAAGTTTCTTTTCCTCTGTAATAACCACAAAATGATAAGGGTAGCAGTGGTTCAATCAGATAGGGAAGATCTCTCTGGGATCTTGCCAATTATTGGATAGTCTTTAAGATGAAATTCCCCCTTCAAAGGACTTGGTGAGGATAAGCTACAGATATCAGTCCATATTTCAGGGATGTTACCTTTTACGAAGTTGCAATGCTACTCCAATACTAACTTAAGATTGTGCAGAGTCCACTGTAAAAGATGCACATGAGCAAGAACCAAGGGAATAAGGCATACTATGGAAGCCAAAGTCCCCCAAAAGAGAGAGAGAACCTTCCATGCAGGTAGAAGTAGAGGATAGAGCTGTGGAAACCAAATTCACCATGGCCAGCCAACAAAATTGAGAAGGGAAATGAAGAACATACCCAAGTGAACCAGATACTAATTGGACATGAAATGAGACCTCTCCAGCCTGACCCACCAACCAAAACAAGTTGCATTCCAAAAAAGGAGAAGAGTATGTTTGTAGGTGTCTTGGTGGGATGGAGTGAAATCCTGGAGAAAGATGAGAAACATATTCAATAGCATCCCTGGCCAACATATCTAAAACTGCCACTTGTTCCCATGGAAAAACAAAGAGTTAGGCTCTCCTATAAAACTTATAGCATGTAACGGTTGGCCACAAATGGATTTCCAAGATCAGCAATCTAAGCCACACAGGTCCATACTGGCTTCAAGCCTATAAGATAGTCACCAAGAAGATTGTTGGTGCCAAAAACTATGCAAGGAGAAAGAATGGATGGAGGCAAAGAAATGGAAGGAAGAGACAGGTAAAGGAGAAAATTTAGAAGGATGGTAGACTATAATGGTATAATAGGAAAGGAAGGAGCTATGGAGAGACAAGAAAGAATGTAGATGTTTGGCTGCAACCTGTGACTCCAGAAAACAAGGTCCTCCACCAAAAAGATCTGGGCAGAGGAAGCAAGTCAGACAAAGATACCTAAGATAAGAGGGAGCCAATGGTACCTGAGCAAGTAGGGCATCTCTCTTCAATAAATCTCAGCAACAAACCAATCAAGTCCGAAAGGGCAAGGTTGAGGAAAAAGAATAAGTCAATGTAAAAAAGATAGTGAATAAGTATCCACCAACAATGCCACAGAGGCATAGTGGATTATTTCCAAAAAAGAAGGGAAGGAGAGGAAAATAATGCAACATGGTAGTGAGGCTAAGAGAAGGAATGAAATTTGGACATGGGAAAGTTGAATAGAAAATAGAGTATTTGACTTCCAAGCCTGACGAAGAGATCCCAAAGTATGAGAGTCAAAGAAAGGGATTACAGCCTGATGTTAAGCCAAGCCATATGCAGCAACCAGGCAAGAAGGACAGGGCATGCCTGCACCAGAGCAAAGTTTAGATATAAATTGTTCAATAAGGAGTTGAATACTTGAAGGAGGAAGTAAAAAAAAAACGTCAGAAGCAGGGAATGAATTAAGAAATGAAGGAGAAGAATCATATGAAACAAGAGAAAGAGAAAAAAAGGTAATATACCTGAGAGACCATGTCCAGAAATTACAAAATGGCCTAGGTAGATCCATGAAAGAATTGGTAAAAGATGGGGCAAAGATAAATGGTAGGAAAAGACTATCAAAGGTTCAGAAGAAGGTCCAGGTCACATGAAAGACTCCATGTTCCATTGTAATGATAGCCATCACTTCCTAAATAGACAAAGGAACCTGACACCATTTTAATTTCGTTGTTTGTCTAGCATGAATAACATTTTTTGTTCTACACCACATAAAGTGAAAGTTACTATCACTTGTGAATTCACAATGTGGAAAGAAAAGGCCACAAAATTTGGAGGTGCAGAAATGTCTGAAAACTAAAATCCAAATTTAAGATTTCCAAAATATTTGGCATTTTTGGAGATACTTCCACAACAAACACTATTATCACAAAGGCTCATGAGCAATAAAAAGACATTTTTAGACACAAGTGCCAAATTGAGAAGTGATGATTGAACAATCAGTATAGAGAGAGTCAGCTGTGCTTGGAGGATGTGTCGCACTCCTGATGGTAGAAGGTTATCACATGCTCATTTGCATGAATAAATGCAGTGGTATCATGTAGAAACACACAAGTTTGGATGGTAACCTCAAGGCTAGTGGCAAGTGGAAAAGTTTGCATATAGAAGGCAGCACTGAATCAGGAAAGTTATATGCGAGTGAAGGTTATTTATCATATTGGAAGTTTCAGATGTCATTTTCATAATAAAAATTTTGTATATGTCAGGATAATTTCCTAAAAGATATGTATTGGTTATGTGACAGATTTAATTATGTACAATTGTTACTTTACGGTTTTAACTTGGCAAATTAATCAAAACCATAACAGTGTCTTTGAATTTTTTTTTTTTTTTTTGAGACCACTCAGAATTTTGCATTTTGTAAAAAAGATGTTCATTTTCAATTAGTGAATGTTGGGACTACCATAGCTGTTAACTTTAAATGTGTAACTTAGGTACTGAATAATTCTTTTCAATTCCTCATTTTTGGACAATGAATTAACACTGAACAGTTATGAAGAAGCCAATATAAATATTAAACATTTATGGCAAAATACCAAGGCTACTTGTCTCAGCAGAGTAGACAGCTGTCCAAACACTATCTCCAATATGTCCCTGTAAGTAACTGTATTGCCTACATTATCTACTGTAGATTTAAAGTCAAGGTTCTCTAATTTGTTCTGCAAAATTAGACACCATATAATTTTGCATGAATGATGGTGTATTTGAGTTTTAGTATGTCAGTATATTTTGAAGAATTGTTTTCCTTCAAAATCTGAAGTGGGAAAAGTTTCTCTTTACCAACCTACACATTTCTTTTATAGGGGATTATGCAAAGATTATCAGTACTCTTTGCAACTGCTATCAGTCCATTCTCATGCAAATAAAGTTGATACTACTGTCACACAGTACATTCTGATACTGAAGATACAACCCAATACACTCCAAAAGATTGTAGAATCTAAATATTTAGCACAATAAAGGTGAATATTGGATGTTCTCAAATATTTACTTTAAAATGAAACTACAGATATTATACTTTTGTGGAATTCTTATTTTAAGGCCTCTAATTATTTTGATTTATATATATATACACACCAGAAAGGCTAACCCATAGTCTACATTCTTCTATCACATACTATCTTTCAAAAAATATTTGTAATTCTCTCCAACACCTGCTAAAGCATTGTTTATAACTGACAGAATGAGGATATTTTAATTTATTGAATTATGTAATAGGCTAGTTCATATTCAATACTGCTGTTGAATTATTCAGGCTAGAGATTCAAAGTTGATATTGCCGAGTTCACCTTGACCAAGTAAGGGATATATATATTTTAATGCAATTATAGCTTAGTTAGAAAGCCATTTAAATTATAATAGTTATAGGATATGATATTCTTTGTGCATGTTATTATTTTGTGCTCCTAATTTAATTTAGTAAAGTACTAACAACAGTGTTAACTTTACACAGACTGACTGCAATAAAGTACAAGATCCACAAGTAAGTACTAAATTTCTTGTTTTCCCATGTATATTTCTCATTTATTGTTATTAGAGTGAGTACAATGTGAAACTCAGAATATTATTAGGTTAGAATGAAAACTTCTCAGCAAGTATGCATGCAAGCTGCACATGCATTACATAATTCAGCATTTTGTTTTACTGTAGCTCTAGTTATTTGTTCACCAGGTGTTTATAGCTTTGTTACGCATGCTTACAACATTCAAAGAGTTTTAAAACAATAAAACTGCATAAAACAAATGTAACTTGTTATGAGCTTGGGGCTGTTTAGGATAAATAACTTATTTTTTATTACAACCTGCAGTTATTCTAGAAAGAAAAAGAGTACTTTTGATTTATCTTTTATTTTATTTTGGTGGTTATAAGGTTAGCAAAACTTATACACAGTTAGGTTATAGAAAATAACAGACAAAATATGGAGTTTTACTTAAAAAATATTTTAACACTCATTTAGGAAATTCCATAGGTTATGCATTTGACATTCAAAAATTGTAAAGTGAAAAAAAGGTAGATTTAATGTTTACATGAAAACCACTTTGCACTCATACTAGTCAGAGTTTGAGTCAGACTGTTACTCCATAAATTCACAAACAAATCTTTAGTAAAAATGCTTATTTAAAAAATCTAACTTTTTTGTGTACAAAAGAGTTGTAATGTTTACTAAAATTTTGCCAAATTTTATGAAGATATGCTTTCTACATTAAACATTATAATATGTACAGTTTCATGGTTACATGTTGGTTAAAAGTTTGGTTGAAATGACTAAGCCTATATACAAAGAGTTAATGAGCAAAATAATCATCAGTTTGATACAAGTTCCTGATAATTAACCAAATAAACACAACAATATTTGATGTTCTTCACTGCTACAGAAGTTTCTAGTAGCCAGCCAATTGATTGTGAGCAGAATAGGTTTCTACTAATAAGAAAATTGATCATCAACCTTATGGCATTTCTAGACAATAAGCAAATCAATAGCAAAGTAACCATCACCCTAATTTAAAATCCAAAAATTAAGCTATATAGCCAATAAACTTTAAGGATGATGATATCAGTCCTCAACAAACTTACAATCCTCTAGATGGTTAGCTGGAGAGTTTCTTGCAAGTACTCCACACTTATTTAAAGTAAAAGAAAGTTTAATATATTTTATATACTACAAATCATATCTATGTGAAAGCCTGCTATTACCTAAGAATAACAAGCAAAGTTGTAATGTACATACCTGATTTATCCATTCTTCCTTCCTTTGATGAAGAAGCTGCAATGACAGGGAATACAGATCCCGAAATTTGAAAAGAAGAGATTTACATAAAACACTGAAACAAAGAAAATCAAATCATATTTAATTTTTATTTCCACATTCGTACAAATTTACATAACAGCTAAGAAACAAGAATTAACATCTGCCTTATACTGGTTTTGTATTTTAAGCAATGAGAGGTTTTAACTTTTATTTTTTGTACTTATGATGTATCAATAATGCCCACTAGTTATAATTATTTACTTTTCAGCATAACATATTATATTGGAAATGGAATGAGATTAACTCATCGAGAATTGGCACAATAAAGAAGGGCCAGGGTTTGAAGGCAAAGGGTCCTGGATCAAGTTCTCCCTTGGCAGGTGATATAAGAAAACCATGGAGTTCTTGGAATTGAACATAAAGAAATGATCCTTGAGGAGGGGTAAGAACCATGAGCATGCCCAACAAATTACCAGAAGTTCGAATGCATTCATATGGTGAGAGGACTCATCATGGGAAGCATCAGTGAACAGGTATGGGTCTAATTTGGGTACAGGTAATGGAACACTGATGATGATATTGAATTAGCCAGCCACCAATACAAATCCTGGAGTAGAGGAGAGGACAGATGAAACATTTTTGTCAAGATTACAGTGAGTGGTTCTACTTGGCATGCAAGGACCAATGGAGAAGGTGAATATGTGTGTGTGTGTGTGTGTGTGTGTCCAAAGAGATAAGCAGTTCCAGTGTAGCCATGGTCCCCATACGCAAAAAATCTCTCATGCAGTATAAGTAGGATAGGTACGAATCCTGGTGTCTAGTAGCTCACAAGAAGATGGAAGAAGGCTGAACTGAGAAAGGAGGTGAAAATCCCTTCCAGGAATATTGAGTGGGAGTGAGAAAAAATTTGGAAGTGTTGATGAATATCACCTCCTTGAGACATTGTAGATAGATGGGATTAGATGGAGGAGGAAACAGAATGAGGAGAGGAAGATAATTGAAGAGAGAGTTTATGGGAAAAAAGCAGAGTAACTCCTTTGTGGACAGAAGTGTGAACAAAGGTGCTCAAACCACGACAGACAATCCCACACAGGACCCAACTCGACTGGAAAGCTCAACGAGTCAGGTGCCAGGTTGAAAAGGAAAGTAGAAATGAAAAGAAAGGAAAGTGGGGACTAAGTTGAGGTACAGTGGTGGAGGTTTCAGTTTGGATTGATGATGAACAGCCTCAGCCCGTAATTATATCAAATTGGGAATACCCCCAAAAACTTGTGGGCAAAGAAGTAAAGGGAACAAAAATCACCTGAAAAAATTCCCTAGGGCACAGTGGAGTGCCTCAGTCTTAGGAATAAACAGGAGAGGGAAAGAAGTATGGTAAGAAGGATCAAACCAAGACAGGAGTATTGAGCATTGGAAGGTGAAACTGTTGCTAAATATTCTTAAAAACTGTTTGGTAAGGATGTTTACTGTGTACATTTTGAGGTAGATTCTTTGGAAATTAATATTCCTTTAAGACTTTAATATTAACAGTTAACTACTATCTCAGAATGGAGGTATTTCTAAAATATGTATTTCAGAAGTAACTAGGATTTGCTACTAAGGGATCTCATTTTTTTATTTAATATCAATATATGATCAAATTCATGTGATTATGTGGGTTAGCACCATCTTATATGTACTGTAAACTGTGGTGTCTGCCCGAGGGTTTATCTGTTTCACATTTATGGTGGCTGCTTCTCGTGCTGCATTTGAAAAGCTTTGCACACAGGCAAAGCTTAAAATTCACTTTTGAAATTATGGGAGAACAAGCACAAATAATGTTGATAACAAATTTTATTTCGCAAGTAGGATATTCAACAATAAATTGTTAGGAATTAACCACACTATCATACACATTTCAAAATGTGACTTAATTTAAAGAATAAAAATGAAGATTTACCGTATGTTATTGTTCAGCAGCTCTTAGCATGACTGAAATGCTCAACAATTACTTTTCAATGTGGGCAGTACAATTAGCTCAGATCTTTGGCTTCGAGTGGAACCATGAGTGCAACCCAATTAACCTTTTAAAAGTCTAGGAAATAATTTAAATTGATAGGTCAACTTCAACTTTTCCTGCCACTAGGGACAGGTACTTTTGCTACATTAACTTAAAACTCTTCTTGTCACTGGATATGGGTACTTTTGTTAATTTGTTCTTTTGCTTTTATGAAAAACAATGGTTTGAAGAATTAGCTATTGAGTTGTGGTGAAAGTTCCTTACTTCTTAACCCTGATCTACCTTAATACTTATTATCTATTAATGATAATTTTCCATATTTGTTTTTTTATTCCTTTAGTTTTTCTGCTTAACATTTTCATTAGTTTTCATATCATATCTTTATTTTATTTTATAAATGCCCATTATAATTTCCCTTTTAATCTAAATTTTTTAAACAATACCTTTCTACACTCTTTATATATAAAATTCTTGTTTTCCAGTTTATTCTTATCATATTACACAAAAAAAAATAGTCGCATTTGTAACATTCCTTTGAAAGCTCATCAAAGCACTTCAGGGTTGACATGATAGTCTTCTTTTCATAATCATAACATCACTACACTTTTTCTCACACTTTACTTAACCCTTTCGATACAGGTCACAGGTGAAAGGCCATGTCATCTCATTTGTTGACTCACATTCAAACTTTTATTGAACTACTTTTTCTTGAATTTATGTCTAATAAGTTTGGTATCATTCTGTAGATTATAATTAAATTTTAG